GTAGAGATGAGGTCTCGCTAAGTTGCCCAGGCAGGTCTCGAACCCACAGGCTCAGGCAATTCACTCACCTCAGCCTCCCAAAGGTACGGGATTACAGGCTGAGACATCGAGCCCGGCATCAATTTTTAAAAAATTTATTGTAGAGATGAAGTTGCCCAGGCTGGTCTCCAACCCCTAGACTCAGGCAATTGTCTTGCCTCCACCTCCCAAAGTACTGGAATTACAGGCATGAGCCACATGCCCAGCTAACTATACATTCTTTAAGGTGATTATCTGGTCCCCCACTCAACTCTAGGTGTCATGGAAGCAGGAATTGTGTCTCTTTTTTCCAAACTGTTTAATCTCAGTACATGGACAGCAGGGAGTTCACTGTACATACTTGCTGTGGTCTGAATGTTGCTGTGCCCCCAAATTCATATGTTGGGACTCAATCCTCAGCATGATAGCATTAAGAGATAAGACCTTTGGGAATTAAATAAGTCATGGGGGCTCCACCCTCATAAATAGGATCAGTGCCCTTATGAAAGAAGTTGAGGGGAACAATGACACATCAACAAAGTGCCATCTTGTTAGCAAAGAACAAACCCTCATCAGACACTGCATCAGCTGGTGCCTTGATTCCAGGCCAGCCTCCAGAGCTGTAAGCAATGCATTGTTGTTTATAAATTGCTCATTCTACAGTATTTTGTTATAGCAGTCCAAATGGACTAAGACAGTACTCAATCAATGTACTGAAATAAACTATTTAGACCAGCACAGTCTGGATCATAAAGCCAACCTAGGCTCCAGGATTTCAGTGCTTGCCTTAGTTCTGTCTCTGGACTGGACCCTTCCTGAGAAAAGTGACACTAGGCTCTGTAAGTGATAAACTAAGAAAGAAGAAATCCATACTGATTTCAGGATACACACAGCATCAGGGCAGGAAGACCCTGATCTATGGTCCTGGGCGGGGAGTGTGGCAGGTAAGCAGAGAGAGGGGCTCTTCTAAGACCTGCATGCTATCATCACTTTATCCCTGGGATTTATCTGAACCTGGGTTCTCTCAGTGCCCAGACTTAATCTATCTTGTCCTTAAGACCTAGCAGAGATTTTCAAACATGTGGACCAGAGGGTCCTTACAGGTACCACAGGGAATGATGCGAGGTTCAGAGAGGGAGTTTAGGGGGGCAGTCATGGCGGGAGGGCTCTGGGATCTTCACCCAAACTTCATCCACAGGGTTCCTGCGATAGGCTGGATAATAACGGGGCTCCAATCATTTAAGGGCCAGATTTGGAAGCAACTGATCTAGAAGGTGAGTTTTTGAATTTTATAGGTTTGTTTGTTTGTTTGTTTTGGTCAGAGTCTTACTCTGTCATCCATGCTGAAGTGCAGTGGCACACATATCTTCTGCAGCCTCGACCTGCTGGGCTCAGGCAATCTGTCCTCCTCAGTCTTCCAAGTGGCTGGAACCACAGGTGCACACCACCATGCCTGGCTAATATTTCGATTTATTGTAGAGACAAGGTCTCGCCAAGTTGCCCAGGCTGGTCTCAAACCCTTGGGCTCAGGTAATCTTCCCGCCTTGGCCTCTCAAAGTACTGGAATTACAGGCAGGCATGAGCCACTGTGCCTGGCCTGAATTTTATAGTCTTGAAATAAATGTATATATGTCCCAATCAAAAATCATAGGCCAACGCATGCCACCAGTCCAAATGAACCATTAGAAAACACCCTTTTGATAATACCATGGATTCTTCCCAAGGCCAAGGTTAGCTCAGCAGGATGTCATTGACTCTGGCTTCTGGTTCCTTGGCAAGATATAAACACAGTTTCATTCTTGGAGGATCCTATTCCAGGCAGAAGCCTGTATTTAAATAAACTCCTTGGGAACATGAGGCAAAGAAGAAGCATAGTATATGAACGTACCCGTGTGCCTTCCTGCCCAGCAAAAGTCAGCCCTTTAGCCATGTGGTGAAGGCATTGAGGGGTGGGGGAGACAGGGCCCCATTATCCAGCCCCCCTTCCCCCTCAAAGACACATAACTAAGAGACTCAGGGCTGTCTATGAATGGGAGATTGTCAGCTGAGGGTAAGGAGGCCAGACACGAATCAGGGACATTGTGCCTTCTGAGTGATGGCCACTAAGAGTGACAGGATGGGAGCAGAAGGAGGGGCGAGTGGCTGAAGAGCGAAGAGGATGGTTGTGCCTAAACCCAAAGACCGGGCCGCAGCAAAACCCAGGGATCCCTCTCACTCACGTGTCAGTCCTCCTGAGGACATGTAGCCACTTGGTGGGGCGGTGTGTATGTGTGCACATTCTTATGCGTGTGCACACGCATGCAGCTGAGCAGCTCTGTGGGAACCCAGCCTGCCAACCCCTCTGTAGGCTCAGGCTCTCTGTTCCATCCTCATGTCTGTCCTCAGGGGAGCCCTCAGACGCCAGCCAGAGCATGGGGCAGGCCAGGCGGGAGCTTGGGACCGTGGCACAGCTCAGGGGGAACAGGTGGGACATGCCCCTGTCCTGGAGAGCGAACAACTATCTGGACAAGGGCAAAGACTGCATTCTCGGGAGAGATCAGGCAAGGCTGAAGATGTAGTGCAGCCTGAGGACACATCTGTAGCTGAGAAATGAAGGTGTGAGGAGGAGGAAGAGGACTTGGAAACCCAGCAGGTGCTCACTCAGCAGGGATGCCTTTCTCCTGACTGTATCCTCTGGGGACTAGCTAAGAAGCAACTTAACCATGTGGTTGGAGTGCCAGGAATAGGGCAGCAGCCGGGTAGGGCAGAGCCCCTGGTCAGGCCTTTCTCCCGCAGCTGGAGTCCCAGGTGTTGACCGATCCTTATCAGACATGCTCAGCTTCATCTTTCACAGAGTCTGGAAGGATCTCAAAGTTGGTTCTGCTCCTAACCTTTTGCTTCCAGATGTGCCCTCCCACCTCTCCAGCCTCAGGGAACCCTCCATTGAGAAAGAGCTGCTGACCCATAATCCCTTCCAAAGAGCGTCCTCTCTCCAGCCTGAATGCATCTCCCAGTCAGTCGGCCTCTCTTCTTAGCGCACAACCCTGCCTCTGCCCTCATGTGCCCCGGTCTACAAGGTCAGGGAGACATACTGCCCACCATGAGCCGTTACTCCAGAGGACTGTTTATATACTGAAGCGGTTTCACCCACTCCCTCGCTCCAGCTCCCGTGGACTTGATCCTGACCTCATGGCTGAAGGATCACCACCATCCTGTCCATGGAGGGTGTCAGTCCTCTGTGGGCAACAGCCTTCTCAGAGAAAGAAATCCCTCAGGGTCTGAGGAACCTGGGGTGGAGGGTTTTGGCAGGTGTGAGGTACACGGACATGGTCTGCAGCTCTCTTTCTTCAGTTCTTCTAGCTGGTGACATTCTCCTGAGCCCCCCCAGGTGCCCAGGCCTGTGCCCAGACCCACTGGTGTATCACAGGGAGTGGGGGATGAGGACTGTGATCCCAGGAGGCACATTCTTCTCAGGGAGGTGGGAGCCACATGTGCAAATTGCAAGAAGGCTATGCAAAGCAACACCTCTGGGTTGGTGGCAGAGAACGTGGCACAAACTGGGTCTCTGAAATTGAATGTGCCTGCCATGGGCTGGGCTTGGGAGATCAGAGTATGCTTTTTGGAGGAGCAGGAGGAGGAGGACCACTCATTGGGATAACATACTTCTTTTTGCATGAGCTCAGCATAAACCATGCAGGCCGCTGAGATGAGTTCATCGGCATCAAGGTCAATGAGGTTGTTGCAGGCCTGTGGGGGGAGGGGAGGATGTGGGTGGGGCAGGGCAAATACTCCACCCTGCACTTTGGGAAGAAAGTCCCTGCTCACAGCAGTCACTGGGAACCCCGGTGTCATCGCCATCCCTGCAAGGGCCTGCCTGGCAGAGTGCCTGAAGTAGCTTTCATACTAGATCCCAGGGAGTCCTGGCATTCCAGGGGGAGTCTTAGGAACTTCTAAGGAGGACTTGGCGTATAACTGGGGGACACCTAAGATCTTTTTTGAACAAAGACTTCAGCAACTTTTTTTAAAAAGTGGAAAGGCTGGACCTGGTGGCTCACACCTGCAATTCTAGCTCTTTGGGAGGCCAAGTTCAGGGGAATTGCTTGAGCCCAGGAGTTCGAGACCAGCCCGGGCAACATAGTGAGACTCCATCTCTTAGAAATAAAAAAATAACCGGGCGTGGTGGTGTGTGCCTGGAAGCTGAGGCAGAGGGATCTCCTGAGCCCAGAATGTCGAAGCTGTGGTGAGCCATAATCATGCCACTGTACTCCACCCTGAGTCACAGAACGAGACACCGACTCAAAAAAAATGAAAAAATATTCATATATATACATATATGTACACACACACACATATACATATAGGAAAACTCTAGGTCCGTTTGCCACAGGGAGATCAGGGTAGGCTTCTTGGAGGAGAAGGAGGGTTCAGAGGTTAGCCGCGAGGCGAGGCAATAGAGCCCAGTGGCTAAGAAACCTCAGTGGCCTCAGTTTCCCCATAGACAGACTAGGGACAATGACGATCATTATAGCCCCTCAGGTCGGGCTTGTCTTGAGGCTGAGACGAGCCAGTCCGTCCAAGCCTGCCAGGCTCCGGGCAGGAACCCGCCTGCCCTTCCTGCGCCGAGGGGCTGGGGTGGGGGGGGGCGGGGTAGGACGCTGAGCCCCGCCCCCTAGAGCCCCGCCCTCCCGCGAGACTGGGCGGGGCCTCCGGCCGCAGTGCTCTCACCAGGAGGATGTCGTCCCCGCTCATGCTCTCGCGCAGCGCCCGCTCGCGCACCATCCGCAGCAGGCTGTAGGCCACCAGCACCTGGAAGTTCCTGCAGGGCTTCCCGGCCAGCAGCACCTGCAAGCCGCGGGGTTCAGCCTGGGACCCGAGACCCGAGACCGCACATGCCCTAGGGACGGTGGGGTCCCGACAACCCCAGGCCCGGTCAGCCCTTTCCGGGCCCTGCTGCTGTCTCATTCATTCATTCACTCAGTCACTCAGGAAAGTGCTCCCTGGGGTTCTAGGCGTTGTGCAGGGGACGGGGAGATTCAGAGCTCAAGGCTTCAGGGAATTCATTAGGTGGAGAGGAAGAGAAAAAGGGGGGGTGAGGAGAGACTGGGAAACTAGCATTCAGGTGGGATTTTTTTTTTTTTTTGAGTTGGAGTCTCACTCTGTCGCCCAGACTGGAGTGCAGTGGCCGCTCCCGGTCACCACAGCCGCAACCTGCTGGGCTCCGGCGATCCTTCTGCCTCAACCTTCCAAGTAGCTGGAACTACAGGTGTGCGCTACCACGCCTGGCTAATTTTTTTTTTGATTTATTGTAGAGATGAGGTCTCACCAAGTTGCCCAGGCGGGTCTCGAACCCGCGGGCTCAGGCAATCTACTCACCTCAGCCTCCCAAGGTGTGGGATTACAGGCTGAGCCACCGAGCCTGGCTGGGTTTTTTTTTTTCAAGGGTTGGTGGGAATTCAGCTATCCAAGGACACAACCAAAGCCTGCCCGTGATCATGAACTTGGGCATGGAGACCAGCAACCCGAGGGGTTATACAGTTGGGCCCTGGACAGGGCAGTGATGGTCGTGAGGTTATTCCCGGGGAGGCCTGAGGATTGAGGTCTAAGGACTGCAGGTGTCCTGGAGGGCCCACAGGAGCCCCCACTCTGGGGGGGAGGAAGGACTGAGAAAAGGGCAGCTGGGGAAGAGGGAGCGGAGTGGCCTGGGCAGGCGGTGAGGAGGCCAGACAGCAGGCCCAGGCTCACCCGTGTCCCTTTTCTGTCGACTGCCCTGCAGAAGCCATAGCCGGGGGGCCTTTGCACGAAATGAACACACTGACAAGGTGGTGCTCCGCAGGGTGGGAGTAGGAGCTCTGACCTAATGAAGACCTCTCAGAACTCCTGGCAAAGCCAGGAATACAGCTGGGGCTAGGAAAACCCTGGGCATCCGAGGGGCAGGGCGAGCCCAGACTGTCCCCAGCCGAAGCCTCACTTTCCACGGCCTCCCTGACCATCCCCAGCCCAGGCCATACCTCCCACAGCCTTCCCGACTGCCCCCAGCCTAGGCCTCACTTCCCACAGCCTCTTCGACCATCCCCAGGCCAGCCCAGCCCAGCCTCCCCAACCCAGGCCTCACCTCCTAGGGCCTCCCCCAGCCTTCTCTAGTCCAGGTCTTACCCCCCCAGGCCCTCCCTGACCATCCCCAGCCCATACCTCACCTCCCAGGGCATTCCTGACCCTCCCTGGCCCAGGCCTCATCTCCCAGGGTCTCCCCAACCATCTCCAGGCCAGTGCCTCACCTTCCACGGCCTCCCTGACTGTCCCCAGCCTAGGCCTCACCTCCCAGAGCCTCCAGACATCGTCAAAGGACTTGAAGGCACGCTGGAAGCAGAGGCAGAACCAGGGGAAAAGGGACTGAACAGCCCCTGCGCCCTTCCCCTCTGCAGGAGAGAAGTAGAGGCTGGGTTAGGGAGAAACACGCACACACAGAGGCCAAACACAGAGCACGCAAGAGGATCCAGAAATAGGAAAGCCTTGGCTCATCCGCTTTCAGCCACCCTTGGAAGCTGGGGTCGACTTCCAAGGGTCCACACCTCAGCCCCAGCCTGATGAACCCTCCTCCCAGGGCCTGGAGGGGAGATCAAATAGCCCTGTCCTCTCCCTGCACCCTGTGATGTGGGACCCTGGTGGGGGCAGGAGAGGCAGGAGGTGGGGACCACTCACTCAGGTGCTCAGCAAACTCAGGGTCCAGGAAGGTGATGAGATCATTGAGCATATCCAGGTTCTTGCCCACCCCGATGCTGATGACACAGCTGTGCTCCTGCATGGGATAGGCAATGGGGAAACTGAGTCCTCCTCAGCCTGGGGGACTGGAAGAGCCCGCCTACCTCCCCTATCTCCAGTTCTGGAGGCTCTGGGTGTGTGTCTCTGGGCCAGGTCCACGTCTCTAGGAGTCTGGGTGTGTGTGTGTCACGGGGGCAGAGAAGGGGAGGGTTGTACAAAGGTCTCACTACATTGTGAGCCCTGTTATCTGTCCCCCCACCGACCCCATACACACATGTACTGTTGGGTCAGAGCCCCTGGGGACAAGGAACAGGCAGGAAGGGCATTGTTGTGGGAGTGGGGGAAGAGAAAAGCACCTTCCTCTGCCTGGAGTGTGTGGGATGCCCCTGGGGACTACTGTATCCCTTCATGTGCCTGGAAATCAGGTTATGTGAAGGGAACAGTGACTGGCAAGACCAAAGAGGAAGCCTTGAATGTCTGGCTAAGGTTACTAGATTTATTCTGGAGGTCTCTGACAGCTATAGAGGGTTTGCAGGGAGGAGAGTCCTGTTTGGGGAAGGCAGTGCCAGCAGAGGGCGCCATCACCGGGCCTGGCCAGCCAGGTTCTTTCAAGGTTTGGTGAGAGCTGGACTGAAGGCATGGCTCGACCCCTTCTCAACTCCAATGCCAGCACCGCCCTGGCTTGGAGGTGCTCATCGGGGTTGGCATTGTCCTCCCAGGCTCCTCTGTGCCCCCAGAGGGCTGTTCGGAGGGAATGGCTGCAGCTGCCAATGCTAACATAACCTTAAGGGGTTGTTTGGGGTGCCTCTGAGGTCAGGCCCAGCCCTCACCGTTTTTTGCAGAAAGAACTGGAAGAGCCAAAAGATCTCATGGTCATGTTCCACCATCAGCTGGAAGAGCATCGCCATCTCGTGGAAGCCCTGCTGGTACTCTGTGTTGGAGAGGGGCTGATGAGCAGGGGCTGGGCGGGAGGGCATGGACCCTGGGCTCAGGCTGAGCCATGTCCCGGGAGGACGCTGACAATAGTGGAGGCTGGGGGGAGGCTGGCCCTCGGGCTCACCCGCCTGGGTGTTGCAGACATAGCTCAGGAGCAGAATCTTCTCCAGCCTCTTCTTGTTGATGAGCACGTTGCCCAGGGGATCTTTGTCGTAGAGTTTCTGAATGTCGTGTGCTGGGTTGGAGGACAGGGACAGGGAGGTATGCCAGACTGCCTCCCACAGAAGGTCTGGGGATGAGTTTATTCCCCACCCAAGAGGGTGGCCCTAGGACACCTGGCAAGGGAGCTAAGAAAGGCACATCAGCCCCCACCAGGCTCACTCCTCACCATGCCCTGAGCTCTCTGGGCTTCTTCCCACCTCCAGCTCTTTGACCAGACGTACCCTCTGTCGGGAATGTCCTCCCCCACCCTTCCTCTCTGTCCAGTTCAAATCCAACCAGTTCAAGCCCAAGGGAGACAAAACAGCAGGAACATCATGGACCCAGGGAAACATGATATTGGGCACCTGTGGGTTCCCAGGAGAGGCTGGTGGGTGGCATAACTAAATGTGTATCTGGCATAGTTCCAGGCACAAGTCAAGGCAACCTCCGGGACCCTGGGAACCACCCTTCCCTGGAAGTGGCTGAGAAGGAGACAGCGATGGTTTGAGCCCTCTGCTCCACCCTGCCTCCCAAACCCACTTGGCTCACCAATGTTATTCCGCGTCTCTATGAAGTTGCGGTGCAGATTTTCCAGAAGGGGCTGAATCTTCTTGTACATCTGGCATAAGGCCTCGTAGTTCTTCCTGTGAGGAGAGAATTGGGCAGGGTGGCCTTCCTCTTCTTATGAGTAGGGGAGATCTCAGAGCAGGCTCAAGGCAGATACGAGGCGGAGAGTGCCCTTGCCCGGCCCTGTGCCCTGCTGGGATGCTTTATCTCAGCCTGCGCCCACCCTGACCATTCTCTTATCCAGACTGGAGATTGTGCCTGTTTGATCTCCTGGGCTCTGTGTCCACATGTTCCACATGAATCCTGGCTCCACAACTTAATCACTGAGTGCCTTCAACTGGGGTCAAGTCTTTGGACATAACTTTCCATAGAAAAGTCAGCCTCCGTTTCCTCGTCTGTAGAGTGGGGATAATCCTGGCACCTGTGCCTCAGAATTGGAAGTATTGGGTGAAGGGGTGTTTTGTGCGCATCATTAGAATGTGAGTAGCTGGTGATGCTGGCTGAACAGTGACCTCCAAAAGATACGTCCACATCCTAACCCTGGCCCTGTGAATGTGACCTTCTGTGGTAAAAGCGACTTTGTTGATGTGATTAAGGATGAGATCTCCTGAACTTTCTAGGTGGATCCAAAATCCAATGACAAGTGTCCCTATAAGAGACACACAAAGAGAGAACAAGGTCTTGTGACCATGGTGGCAGAGGTTAGAGTGGAGCAGCCACCAGCCAAGGGGAACCTGGAGCCACCAGAAGCTGGAAAGGAAGGAAGGATCCCCTGCCAGAGCCTCTGGAGGGAGCCAACACTTCGATTTGGGGCGTTTTGCCCCCAGAACTGTGAAAGGACACTCATCTGTGGTCGGTGTACCACTCCCCATTTGTGGTACTTTGTCACAGCAGCCTCCGCTCATAAACACGGGGAGGGGGTCTCTTGTCAGGGCCTCAGACCTCTATCAGCCCCCTCTCAGCCTGGCCCCCACATCCCCGCTGCCAGTATGGTTCTCTAGCTATCATGGGTGTGGGATCTTTCCTGCATCCTGGTCCAGCGCTCTGTTGGGGCTGGGCCCACCCCCTACTCTAGGCCCCTGACGGCTGATCCCAGCCCCGGCCAAATGCCTCTGAGGGGCAGGTGTTCAACCGGAGAGTCAGACTCCTCAACCAGTGTGCACCGAGCCCGCCTGTAGACACGCAAGCCTGGAGAAGGCCTGGAACAGAGGCAAACTGGGGACCGACTATGCCCATGTGTGCTCTCGCCCAGGAGAGAAGACACACATCCAGTCTCACTGCCACTGGGCCAACTGCCCAGGGTCATAGGCGAAGTGCAAATCAAAGGCGCTGGCTTCAGGGAGGAACCTGGACTTCCTAATTCCACCCTCACAACCACTCTGTAAAATGTATTATTGCTCGCATTTTCCAGAGGTGGAGGCTGAGACTTCACAGGTGAAGCTCTCGGGCAAGTTCACTCAGGGTGTAAATGAATCGTGTTGAAATTTGAACCCAGCTTACACATCCAGGACAGACCAAGTTCAAAGCCTGTGTGTTGTCTACGGAACCAAAGTGCCTCATCCAGGCTCCTTGGAACTTCTGGGAGGGCTGCTTGGAGGAAGTGTGTCTGGCCTGGACCTTGAAGGAAAAGTGGGGTTCTGATCAAACAGCTGATGGCAGACCATTGTGGGTAGAAAGGAAAGAGTGAACCAAGGACAGAGGGGGTTACAGATGTGGCCTGTGGTGGGCAAAGGGGGAGTCAGTTGGGCCGTCAGCATGGCTGGAATGTCAGGTGCTGGGGGTGAGGGCGGGGGAAGCCAGGGTCAGGAAGGCCTTGGAAGAAAGATGCTATCAGTTACACCACTGAGGTGTTTCGCTAAGGACGAGTGCAGCCCAGACTGGGTTTCCCATTTCTCCTCCTGGGCACTAGGAGGGGATGGTGGGCAAAGCCAGGGAGGTGGGACCGGCTTATCCCTTGGGGGAGCAGGACTGGGGCCCGGGGAAGAGCGTGGGAGAAGCCAGTCAAGGCTGCTTCAGAGGGAGAATGCACAGGCCCCGGGAAGATGGGATTTGGGGGTGGAGGGACGTAGTGGGTTACTGAGACCAAGCCCATGCCTGATTGGTGGTGGGTTGGTCAGCAGAGCCGGGGAGAAGAGGAGCCGGCCCAGACAGGCCTCCCCACCCGTGGGCCGGGCCTGAGTTAGGAGTGCCATGGTGTTCCTCTCTCAGGATGAGGTGTCCCATGGGGGCAGAAGACCGAATCTGCAGGTGGGGTGGGCAGCATTTGCAGCACCAGCCCTTCCCCCAACGGAGGATCTGGCGTGTTCTACCTCCTCATGCTGTCCACGGTGAGCCGCTCGTCCTGGGAACTCTGCCACGAGTAGTAGCCGGTGAGGAATTTCCAGGCCTCTGTCCTCACGAAGGGGTGCAGGCCCTGGGGGGTGGGGGTGGGAGCGAGAGTCATGGGCCCTCTGGATGGCCAGTGAAAGGGCTCCGCCCAACGCCAGGCCTGCCCCCTGCCCATCCCATCGCATCCCCGGATCCAGGGCAAGGCCAAGGACAGCTTGGGGACCGTACCCTTTCCAGGATGTTAACACAAATGAAGTCACGGGACTTGGCCAAGTGGCCGTTCTCGTCAAAGAAGCTATCCCATTCCGTCTTGTCAATGGGTGGTTTTCTCTTCACCTGGCAAAGACAGCCTGTTCAGCCCTTCATTAGGGGATTTTGGCTTATTATTATTATTATTATTTTTTCAGTGACAGTTTCTGGCTTTGTCACCAGACTGGAGTGCAGTGGCAAAATCATACCTCACTACAGCCTCAACCTCCTGGGCTCAAGTGATCCTCTCACCTCAGTCTCCTGAATAGCTAGAAATACAGGTGTGTGTTACCATACTCCGTTAATTTTTTTTTTAATTTCGGTAGAGATGGGGAGGTCTCACTATGTTGCCCAGGCTGGTCTTGAACTCCTGGCCTCAAGTGATCCTTCCACCTCAGCCTGCCCAAATACTGGAATTACAGGCTTTGGGCTTTTTAAGTGTAATTTTAAATAACATGCTCTGGACTTTGCAGTATGAATCAGAGCTCACAGCCTGACTCACTCCTGGAAATCTATCCCAAGGAAATTACTGAAAATATATAGAACAAATCCTGTATGCAAAATAATTTTCACTGCACATTACTTACCAGCATGAAAAATGCAAGCACTCTAAATGTTCTGCAATGAGGGGCTAGTTAAGTAAACCATGGTTTATGTCTCAGTGGAATATTGTGAGGCATATAAATGGTGTTTACAGGGAATGAATAGTAATCTAGAAAAATACAAATGTTAACAGAAAAAAAACAGAATAGAAAATGGTATCTTCAGCATCCTCTCTAGGTATTAGACTCTATAGTACTGCTATGGTCCTCATAGTGAGGCAGGACAGCTCGCATAGCTTGGATATATATAGGTGAGCTGCTTACAGGCAAGTATAGTTTAGATCATCAGGAAACCAGATGGTCAGGCATCTGGGTACCATCTTATCGGGACTTAACTCTCCTGAACAATACCTACACTGACCAGGCATACTAGACTCATCCTGGGATGAGAGGTGGTGGCACAGTCAATCACAAAGACCATAAACAAAGGCAATAGGAAGTTACCGGTGACTGAGACACGGCACTCTAAGAGAAAATTTCATTACATGGTAACCTTTCCTATTATTTCAGAAGTTCCTTGTGACACAGGTAAGCTTAGGAGTGAAGCAGTAAGAATTGAATCTCGTGACCAACACCTTGTTTAACCTACACACCCCACAAATCTTAACTTAGAAAACAGGTTGCTTAATCATCATTTGGGGCAATATGTAAAGCTTTCTGATAACAGCAAGTCTGTGTCCTTTCTTCTAAGGTAATCATGTTCCCTCTTGACATTTTTATTTATTTTTTGATTGGGAGTCTCACTCTGCTGCCCAAGCTGGAGTGCAGTGGCACACTTATGGTTACTGTAGCCTCGATCTGCTGGGCTCAGGTGATCTTTCTGCCTCAGCCTTCTAAGTAGTTGGAACTACAGGTGTGTGCTGTCATGCCCAGCTAATTTTTTATTTTTTTGTGGATATGAGGTCTCACCATGTTGCCCAGGCTGGTCTCAAATCTCTGGACTCAGACGGTCCTCTCACCTCTGCCTCCCAAAGTGCTGGGATTACAGGCATGAGCCACCACACCTAGTGAGCATGTCTTCCTTTCTAATAAGCTCTACTTTAAAGCTTTACTTTGGACTTGCTCTGAAATTCTTTTCTGTGGTGAAGTAAAAAATCCACAGAGCAACTACATCCCATGTCACATGACATCCATAGTATTACCTCTCTGTGTACTACATTCATTATATATTATAGAAACTATACCACATAAACTCTAATATAGAGTGCATTAACCAGTATAAAAATTATTGGAAGAAAACTAAAAAAAAAAAAAAAACTAAAAAAACCCCACTAAAAACAACAGCAATTATTTTGAGTGATAGGAATATAAGTACTTTTTCCCCTTTGTATTTTCAAAATGTTCTATACTCATATATGCTGCTTTTGAAAATAGAAAAATATAAAATAAGCTCTAATTAAACACATTCATGAGCTCTATTTTACCCCTTCTGGAAATGTAGAACAGTTCATGACAAGGAATATTTTAGGTTTTAGATAACGTGTGTGTGTGTGTGTGTGTGTGTGTGTGTGTGTGTATGTCTATGTCCATGTGATGTGTGTGTATGTGTTGGGGGAGGTAAGTACACTGTATGCAAAGTAATTCAAAGTGCTTATAAAGTAATAACTAGGAGTCAGAGTTCCTGTTGGAATAAGAGAAGATTCTTCTCTTTCCAGAGCATTCACTCCTACTGGAGAGAAATGTCTTGAAATGCCATATGGCAGATGTGAAGATGGACAGAGCTCAGCAGACGTATCTGATACACATACTTTCAGCTTCCCATTCATATGCACCTGAATATGTACACATGTAACTCATTAAGTTAGCGTACAAGTTACTTAAGGATCTTCTGAAAGTGCAGATTCAAGTTCAGAGAGTTTGGGATGAGGCCCAAGAAGATGCGTTTCCATCAAGCTCCTGAGTGACTGGTGATGTTTCTGGTCCATAAAGAATGAAAAGGTAAGGCAGCACCGGAAACCAGAAATAAAAGCCCACTGGCTCCAAATTGGGATAACATCTATGATGGGGAAGGATTGAGAAACACACCCTTTAATAGCTCACACAAGCTCTGTCTCCTGGACCCAAGAAAGTACAAAAAACTTCAGTATTTGCCTAACTTTGGGAAGCAGGGTATGGCCGAATACCAGGCCCTCTCCCCACATAGACACAGTCACTGTCGTCAGAGCTGGGCCTCTGCCTCTCCGACTGCCATCATGTTCTCTCAACCTGCACTCAGAAATGGCAACACCCAGCACACAATGCAGCAGGAAGTGGAAGAGAGTAGGCCAAGCTGGACTGTGTCCCAGGATCCTTTATTATAAAAGGAACTGTATCAGCTTTTGAAATGCATCTCCATGAGAGTTTTAGACCATTTGTCCATTTCTGTAATAAAGGCAGCTGTGATTTTGATGAGGATGGCACTGAGTCTAACAGATCAATTTGGGGAGAATAGATGACACTGTTGAGTCTTCTGACCCTGAACAAATCTATTTCTCCATTTATTTAGGTCTTTTAAAATTTCTTTTGGCATTATTTTGTAGTTTTCAGCATATAGGTCATTCATATATTTTGTCAAATTTATTCCTACACTAAATCATATTTTAGATACTATTATGAAAGAATTTTTAAAATTTAAGTTTATAATTGTTCATTGCTAGTATATAGAGATACACTGGATTTTTATATATTTATCTTGTATCAAGCAACCTAGCTAAACTCATTGATTAGTTTTAGTAGCCTTTTCATGGATTCTGTGGGATTTTCTACACCAATCAGGGGTACATCATCAAACTGTGACCCATGGGTTGAATTTGGCCTCCAACCTGTTTTGTTTTGTTTTTTAATAAAATTTTACTGGGACACAGCCACACTCATTTGTTCATGTATCATCTATGGCCACGTCCATGCTACCATGATAGAGCTGAGTAGTTGCAACAGAGACTGTATGACACACAAGCAGAACATACTGTCTTGATCTTTATAGAAAAGTTTGTGACCAGGTGCTCATGCCTGTAATCCCAGCACTTTGGGAGGCCAAGGTAGGAGGATTGCTTGCACCCAGGAGTTCAAGACCAGCCTGGCAATGTAGCAAGATCTTGTCTCTACCAAAATAAAAAAATTAGCTGGGCACGGTGGTGTGCTGGCTGTCCCAACTACTCAGGAGGTTGAGGCAGGAGTATCACCTAAACCCAGGAGGTTGAGGCTGTTGTGAGCCATGACCATGCCACTGTACTCCAGCCTGGGTGACAAAGTGAGACCCTAACTCTAAAGAAAAGAAAAGAAAAAGAAAAAATTTGCATAGATGATTAAGTTCATCTGTGAATAAAAGCAATTTAATGTCTTCCTTTCTAGTCTGGAAGCCTTTTGTTTCTTTTTCTTGTTTTACTGCATTGGTTAGCACCTCAAGTGCAATGTTGAATAAAAGTGATGAGACCAGACATCCTTGGTTTGCTCCCAATCTTAGAGGAAAAGTATCTAAACTTTCACAACTTGGTATAATTCTGACTCCAGGCTTTCTGTAGGTGCCTTTTGTCAGGCTGAGGATGTGCCCTTCTCTTTCAAGTTTGCTGAGAGTTATTTTTTTTAAAATCAGGAGTGGATGTTGGATTTATCAAATAATGTTTTACATCTATTAAAATGATCATATGACTTTTCCTTTTTTCAGTTTTTAAATATGGTAAATTATAATTACCATATTACTGAATAATTTTGAATGACATTCTTGGAGCAAGCCCCACTCATTGATTGTATGTTATTCTTTTTATTCACCATTGGATTCTGTTTGTCAAAATTCCATTTAGAATTTTTGCATCCTTTGTCTTCAGAGATACTAGCCTATCATTTTCTTGTAATGTCTTTGATTTTGGTATTAGGGAAGTGTTGACCTCATAGAATGAGATGGGATGTAATTCTTGTTTTTCAATTTTCTGGAAGAGTTTGTATGAAATTGGTGTTCCTTTTTTTTTTTTTTTTTTTGAGTTGGAGTCTCACTCTGTTATCCAGACTGGAGTGCAGTGGAATGCTCCCGGCCACCACAGCCTCGACCTGCTGGGCTTTAGTGATCCTTCCGCCTCAGCTTTCCAAGTAGCTGGAACTACAGGTGTGCGCTACCACGCCCGGCTAATTTTTTTTATTTTATTGTAGAGATGAGATCTCGCCAAGTTGCCCAGGCAGGTCTTGAACCCGCGGGCTCAAGCAATCCACTCACCTCAGCCTCCCAAAGTGCTGGGATTACAGGCTGAGCCACCGATCCCAACTGATATTCCTTTTTAAATATTTGGTAGAACTCACCAGTGAAGCCATCTGGGCCTGGAATTTTCTTCGTAATAGGTCTTAACCTTTAACGGTAGACTCAATTTATTAGATAAGATAATGGAGTCAAAAGAAATTGTCTTCTTTTTTACTTTAAAATTTAGGAGTTTTAGTAACAGGACATTTTCCTTTTAACTCACTTTTTAAAATAAAAGCAAATAATACTGGAAACAAGGAGTTAATATTATTTTAAAATGACAGAAGCCTAAAGAAGTCAGTTATACAAATAAATGCCACTAAAATCTCTCATTAGCTGCAAACATTTAAAAGCATTGGCACTGTTCTAAGCACTTTATAGATATCAAGTCATCTAATCTTCACCCAGAGGCCGTGGGGTCCTTACACTGTTTTACAGAGCAGGGAACTGAGGCTATGGGGGGGATTAATTAGCATATCTGCAGTCACACAGACATTTCAGAGCTGAGATTTGAATCCAGAGCTATTTGGTACCACAGTCAGAGTGCTTAGCCTTCATGCCATGCTGCGAGGCTTGGAAGGCGGTTGAAAGGCAGGGATTTTCAGTTTGAATAAAAAATACAGATCATGCACCAGCTGTGAACAAAAGGTATACCTTAAAATCAAATGCCAGACAATGATTAACAAATAAATGACGGAAAAAGAAGTGGAAAACAAAGTCCCACACAATGAAAGGGAGACAATGTAAAAGTAATATGCACAGCACACCCTAACAAAAGACATGGCTTCAAAACAATAGGGCAGAAATAATGGGAAGCATCACAAAAAGTCATCTGCTGAACACTCAAAGAATTTACATCACTAAACCTCTACCTGCCACAACTGGCCATCTGCCTGCTTTGCCATGGTTGCATTTATTTATAAAAAGTCACTGCCTCTTCCTTCTAGGAAACTCCACGGCTGGACTCCCACTGGTTCCCTATATGTCTCCAAACCCAAACATGTGACAGGAATGTCTGACGCTTGCTAGCAAGCCAAGGACTAGAACAGGAGTTCCGCTGACCTGCAGAAGGCCAAGGGGAGAATGTCTGAAAAGAAGCCCCCACCCTTGCTTCCCTGTACATCACACCACAGGTAGACACCAGGAATTAGAGAACCTTTGTCTTGGGTTCTTCAGAGTGGTGGAGGTTGTCAGCTCAATAGCTTCTCAAAGTCACCTCTGTCCTCCCATATTCCTCTATTTTTTGTACCACCAACCTATGAATACCCTTCTCCATACGCTGGAAACAATGAGCTGGTGACCCAGGAGGGGGAAACACATAGCACTCGAGGTACTGGGTATCTTTCTGCTCTCTGGGAGTGTCTTTCCTTGGCTCCTTGGAAGAGCACTGCTAGGTGGAGCCGTTGTGGAAACCCCCTCCCACCTGTCTAAGCAGGCTAAAGCTCTCTACCAGCAAACCTGGGGAAATCTTGGCTGTGCTTTCCCCTGGGGAAGGGGATCAGGTGTGGGAACCCTAAGTGGGCTGGTCCCTTTATAAGGTTCCTACTGCCAGAGGCCTTGTCTCATGGGGGGTAGAATTTTCTACAGGGTTTCCAGTGTAATAAGAAAAATTCACTGAAGGACAAGGAAAACTTATGAGAGCTTTTGGTGCCAAGCTTCTTGGAATTCAGGTATCCAGAGGGCCTCAAGCACAACCTGGGAAGCTCATTGACTCTGTGAAGGTTCTCAGCTTCTTTTTTTTTTGAGTTGGAGTCTCATTCCGTTGCCCAGACTGGAGTGCAGTGGCCTCCTGGCCACCGCAGCCTCGACCTGCTGGGCTCCGGCGATCCTTCCGCCTCAGCCTTCCGAGTAGCCGGAATTACAGGCATGCGCTACCATGCCCGGCTGATTTTTTGATTTATTGTAGAGATGAGGTCTCGCTGCCCAGGTGAGTCTTTCTTAACTCCAGTCCACCTGAGGGCAAGACACACTCCGAAACCAACAGGGCCGCCAGATCCATAATGCTGATCAGACCCGGTGTGGAGGTGCATATCACTACAGCACAGTCATCAGGAAAGCAGTGGTTCTCAAAGTTAGCTGGGTGCCAGCATCGCCTGCAGGGCTGATTTTTTTTTTTAAACACAGATCTCTGAGTCCCATCTTGATTTCTAGTTCAGATCTGGGGCCCAAGAATCTGCATTTCTTACGAGTTCCCACTTGGTTCTAGAGCTGCAGGTTTGGGTATCACATGTTTTTTTTTTTTTTTT